TCTGGCCAGCCCCAACCAAGCCCTCACCCTTTCACTCAGCGATCACATAAAAGAGTCCCCAAAGTGTCTGTTACACACTAAGGTACCACTGAAATAATGACGAGGGAAATCCATGCTACATTTAATCTACCAGTTGGGGGGATCTCTTTGTGGTCCACTCCAGATGACTGGCCAGCAGACCCAAATCCCTGACAAGGCATCGTGCTCCGTATCTATGTAAACATAGGGAGCTACCATTTGTCAGTCTGAAGGCAGAAGGAAGATCCGGCCACACGGCCCCGATGTAGGACACCTAGACTTTGTAAGCATTGGTTCCCAACAGATAAATGTAATCAAGGCTTATATGCTCACAGAAGCCAACAGGATGGGATTGTTTCACTTGAAAGATCAGAAGAAAATTGTAACTAATGTTGTGGAAAATTACTTTGATATTGCTTTCTCGGTGCAGCATCACAATTAGGGTGCAGTGTGAAGCACAGGCAAAAATAAATGAATAGTAACAAATCAACACAAACAGCCACTGTCAGGAGTGCTTTGCTCAGGGAAAGGAATGTAAGCATTACTTAAAGTGTTATGGCCATGGTTTTCCCTGGTGTACTGAGCGCATCCACAGCTGGCCGGACACCACCCCGCTGCTCCTAGTGCTGAGTACTGCTCCTCAAAGGCTGATGTCATAGGAGCCCAAGTCCTGCCTGGGAAGGGAGGGAAGGAAGCCCTGACCACACCTGGCACTCTTGCTCCTACTGCCCTTGGCCAGGTGTGACATGTAGACTCTCCTCTCCCAGAGAAATTTCCCCCACTCTGAAATTCCTCCCTACCAAGCAAGGGCTCTCAAAAAGCTGCATGTGACAACATCCCAGGGTCTTATATAGCCAAATGTTTAGCAGGACAGGATAGAACAGCAGAAAGAGAACTGGCATCAGAAACTTTACTTGCCTGACTTAGGACAAGTCACTGGAACCTCACTTGAGCCTCAGTTTCCTCATCTGTAAAATGAGTAAATTAGACTAGATCTGTGCTGCTATGAACACAGGGGTGCCCTTCTCCAGAGTAGAACAAGCCAACAAAGAGCTATGGGGTAAGCTCCTTGCTTCAGGGGAAAGTGGGACCTCCCAGCCTCTGGCTGCATGCAGAATGAAGAGGACACATAGCAGCAAATCTTCTACGGACAGACCTGAAGGAAGAAGCTGCGTGTGCAAGGCATATACTGCTGAGGGTCATTGGAAACCCCAAGGTAGTGCCCAGGCCCACCCTGCCTGTCACTACTGAAATGCCAATATGCCTGTAGCCTAATTTCTTTTACCTCCTGGGCTAATTTGCTGGTATACGACGGATGTCTCTTAACAATATTATTTAATTTAACAATTAATATTTACATAGAGCTTCAATTTGGGCTCTACTAATTTAAAATTTGTGGTAATTTAGATAGAATCTGGGCTGAAGTTTACTTTTGCACTATCAATATAAAGACTGAGGTTGAGGGAATTTTTTTTTAGCTTATTTAAGAGAACAGCAGTCTTCAAGCATTTTAGAAGTACTATTTATATACAATTGATATGCTAATTACAAATTGATCTTATTTACATATTAAAGCAGATTTCAATGGGCCTCTACTTAGGACACTCCTTAGGTTCACCGGATGGAGAGTATTGTATATACTTGAAAACAATAAAGTGGCATTGATTTATAGTTTCTCTGTAATTCAAAATCTACACTAATTCATATTAAGTCTGCCTTATTCCTCCTTCCTCACCTTTCTTCATTACGTTTTCAAGTTTGGGGTAATTCTATTTACTAAGTTAAATGGTGGATGGGAGGGGTAGAATTAGATTAAAAAATACTCTCTTTCCTCATATTTTCTCCTTGCTTCCCCCTGGGTGCTACTGCCACGGCCACAGAAACCCAGAATGTGTCATTCTGAAAAAAGAAAGGGCCTCATGCTGAGCTTCTGCCAAATCACCCAGTGCTGATGGGGGAGGGGGTGGGGAATGAAGGGGAACACCTAGAGGAAGCTGAGATAGACCCAAAAGGAACTAACCCCAGTGGAGAAAACCAACCACTCTGGTGAAAACCACGCCTGAAGGAAGATGTCACAGGAATTTTTTATTTTTCTTAATTATTGGGACTCAGAGCTATCCTCCTGCAGTTTTGGCTAACATTAACCTCACCTAACCATTTACTTAGTCTTAAACATTCCCTAGATAAAAAGACAGAGAAAGAAACTCGACTGTCCCAGTCTCCTTGGGGACTGTAAATTCGCCTCTACAATCAGCCAATCTCGAATCCCCCAAATGTAGTTTAATCTATAACCTGATTTAATTTACCTATTGTTTGACTATGAAGTTTGTTTCCTTAGGGGATAGATGAGATCATGACTCTGTTTAACTAAGTTTGTTCAACTTTTATGACATTGAAGGAAGTATGGGATTATGGACCTATTCTTTTCTTTAACTTTTATGGCCTGAGGAATCTACAAGGTTGCAATATGTAAATGAATTATTTCATTGTCACTCTGACACAACTTTTCCTGTAGGAAACATTGTTAGAATTCTGATGATTGTTCGGGTTTTCTCGGAGGTCTGAATCTATGCTTGAGCATAATAATAAAACCTAGATCTTCACCTCCATAATTTCTGTATTGTGGTAAATATATATGTGGCAGCAGTTATTCACCCCATGAACTCAGACAGAAGATTGTTGTTCAGTCATTTCTCAGGTGTGTTTGACTCTTCATAACCCTATTTGAGGTTTTCTCAGCAGAGATACTGGAGTGGTTTGCTATTTCCTTCTCCAGCTCATTTTACAGATGAGGAAATTGAGACAAATAGGTTAAGTGACTTGCCCAGGGCCACACAGCTAGTAAGAGTCTGAGACCAGATTTGAATTCAGGAAGATGAGTCTTCCTGACTCCAGGCCAGGAGCTCTATCCACTGAGACACCTAACTGCCCAGAGAGGAGATGTTGCTTCTATAACAAAAGAGTATATTACCTTCTGCATGATGGTCTGTATTACACTCAGCAGATCATTGTCCAAGAAGGGGAGCCTCTTGGCTCATACAGTCATAATTTTGGAGTGGAAGGTAGCTTAGAGGCCATTTAGTCTAACCCCTTCGATTACAAAACGAGGAAACAGACCAAGGGAGGTGTTGACTTTTGCCCAAGGTCTCACAAGATGATTTGAATGTAGGCCCTCTGACTTCTTTCCACTGTACAAAGATGCTTCCTATCTGCCTCTGGACCAAGGACTGATCTTTCCAGGATCTGAGACAGGTTTGCTGTAATTCTATTTTTTCCCCTCATACATATCTGAAGACATGTGGAGTCCCCCAAGATATTAGGCTCAGAGGGAGAAAATGAGGGGCACATCCCATTTATCAGACAGTATCTTCCTAAACTGAAAGAGGTCCCAGGAGCTATAAATAACTCTGATGGATCCTTCTCTATGCAGCCTAAACTAATGGGCTCCTAGTTCAGCAAATACCTTTGCTTGACAAACACTGTCTCTTGGCCTGACTTATTCTCTCAGGATACCAAAGGGTTGGGATGAGCTTGTTTTAGAAGAAGATCTCTTTCATTTGGCCTACCTGTAATTTTTCTTCAATCTAGAGCATAGATTTCATTGGTAAAGGAATCTACTTTGCCTACCAATGGGGATCTATCAGAATATTGCTACTCATAATCCTAGAGAGGTGCCTGAAATACCTGGAGGTTAAGTGCCTTGCCAAGGGTCATACAACCAGCCAGCCAACATCATAGATAGGATTTGAATACAGGAAATTTTCTCTCTCTATTATGCCAAGCTGCTTCTGGGACTCTTTAATAGGACTAAACATTGGCAAGAGGGAGAAACAGCTCTGAAAGTCCTCAGTATTGGGCACAGGTCCTTGGGAAGTTGCCCATAACTCAGAGTTTCAGGGATTTCCACATTGCCAACTACAGTGTTTCCTTGGGGGGAAAGGAAGAATTTCTCCCCAACCAAAATGGAGGAATTGATGGGGTATGGTCCCAAGCCGAGACTTTTGTCCCTCACCCCAAAAAGAATTTGGGTCCCATTTGTCTACCCACCCTGGAAAACTTTTTTTTTTTTTTTTTAAGGCAGTTGGGGTTAAGTGAGTTGCCCAGGGTCACACAGCTGGTAAGTGTCAAATGTTTGGTCTGAGACCAGATTTGAACTCAGGTACTCCTGACTTCAGGGCTGGTGTTCTATCCACTGTGCCACCTAGCTGCCCCTCTGGAAAACTCTTGAACTTTCCTCGAACTCACTTACTTGGTCAAGGAAGTCTCTAGTGATTGCCTGAAGGCATAATCCACTCAACAGGCCTTTCCTTATCCCCAGTGCCCAATTTTCCAGTTCTTTGTTACCCTAATTAAGCCTAGCCCTCCATTGTCCCAGTCCCTCCCATCCAGATACTCCCTAGACCCTCCAGTCACTCCATCTTACTTGTCACTCCCATCAAAACACCCTTTCTCTCAGCCCCTCCTCCAGTCACCCCAAACTACTTAGCCACTCCTAGATCTCTCCCATAGTCTTTCTGTATATAAGATCCACCCTAGCAGCCATTTAGGGGCTGAGACTTCCTCATACCCACTCGTCCTTACGAGCTTCACAGATGCTCAGATTTCTTCAGAGTCTGGCCTGTATGGCTCATCTTGAATAAACCTTGTCTTTGGCTGAAAGAAGGCTTGGGTTGAATTCTTGTAGGCAGGACCAGCGTGTTGTGATTTTGGGGTCCTAGCACCCCTAGCATCTAACCCTCAACAATGTTATCCGTTGCTGGCCACAGCCCATCTTGCTCCCAGCCCTAGTTCTTCTCCACTGAGCTAAGATGCTGTACTCCAATGTGGGCCCAGGATCCCAAGAGTTAATTTTGTGCCAGGGCCTGGAAAAGCATCAAGGGAGTCTTGATGCTTCTAGGTCGTATCAACCTTATGAAGGAATAAACCTTTCCCTGATCATGAAGAGACCAAAAGCACTAGTCAGGGAGACAAAGGTCACTAACCTGGTGTCTGCTGAGGGATGATTTCCGCTGGATCTTCCAGGTGCATGAAGACCACAAGTCCTGCAGTCCCAAACAGCACGACGCAGGCGAACATTAATACCAGCCTCATACTTCTCACACTAGAGTAAGTCTGGAAGGTGTCTAGTCTCACTTGGAGAAAGTGTCTCCTGAGCCGGTTGTACCCTCCTCCCTCATGGTCCTGGCTGCAAATTCATCCTGGTACCACCTGTAAGGGTTAAATGGATACAGACCATCAACCACCATCACTTTAGAGAGTCCTAGAAGCTGGGCAGGCGATCTAAATAAACTGCTTATTTTATTGTGTAACCCAAACTGAGCTAATGGCTGATCTGGGGCCATCGCAGGCCTGTCGCTTCTAATTGGCTACTCAATTAGAGGGAACCATGGAATCCATGTGACACCTTCTAGAGAAGGGTTCAGGGCAGCCAGCTTCAACACTGCCATTCTCTCAGAGATCTGTCTACATCCTTGGCTGCGTCACTTTTATTTTCACCCTCGTTAGACACAGAATGAGCTTTAATAAGAAGTGAGATGCCCTATGACCTAAATGCTCTCACAGTGATGAGGACAGAGTTCTACATGCCATAACCAACTAGCTGGACTCAGTGCTTTGGGTCACCAAGTGCACTCCCTCTAAAAAATTCTAAAATTTGGGCATACTCCCTAGGGAAAAAATCAATGTGTCCAGGGGAATATGTGGGAATTAATTGCATACTTAATGCCTACCAGGCTGGTCCAGGATATCAAAGAAGGACCCTCAAGAGACTGTCTCTGCTTTTTACCTTTGACAGATTCTGGCTCCCACATTATACTTGCTAAGATAGATAAATCGACAGACAGACAGACAGATACAGACAGGCATTGAGTGTATATATGTACATATGTATATATATGTCCAGGCAGCTAGATGGTGCAATAGATAGAGCACCAGGCCTGGAGTCAGGAAGACCTGAGCTCAAATCTTGCTTCAGGTACTTAGTAGCTGTGTGATCCTGCGAAAATCACTTAACTCTGTTTGCCTCAGTTTCCTTATCTGTAAAATGAGCTAGAGAAGGAACTGGCAACCACTCCAGCCAAGAAAACCCTAAATAGGGTCATAAAAAGTCAGACAGGACTCAACAACAACAACAACAACAACAACAACACACACGCACACACACACACACTCACACTCACACACTCCCTTCAGGAAAAAACTTGAAAAAATTTTTTTTTAAATTAAGGATTCAGAGCTATATCCCTTCATGTCAAAGATCACAGATTTAGAGCCAGAAGGAATGTTAGAGGCCATCTAATCCCCTCATTTTATAAATAAAGGAACTGAGGCCCAGAGAAGTATTGCCCAGGATCACATAACCATCAAGTGACAGAGCTGGGATTTGAAACTAAGCCCTTTGATGCTGAATCTAGCATTTTCCTCACTATAGAATCTCTGGATAGAGCACCATCTCTGGAGTCAGGAGGACCTGAGTACAAATCCAACCTCAGACACTTGACACATATTAGCTGTGTTACCTTGGGCAAGTCACTTAACCCCATTGCCTAATGGGGGGGGGGGAAAGAATCTCTGGATAGTGTTGTACCTGAAGTCAGTAAGACCTGAGTTCTAGACATTCTCTATCTGTGTGATCTTGGGCAGTCACATAACCATTACCTGCCTCAGTTTCCTCACCTGTAAAATAAAGATTATAACAGCAACTACCTTGCAGGGTTATTGTGAAGAGCAAATGAGATCACATTTGTAAAACTCTTAGCCCAGTGCCTGGAACACAGTAGGTGCTCAATAAATACTTATTTCTATCTTTTCTATATAATACTGCCCTCCTTGTCTCTCCTCAGGGGAAGAGCCAGGGCAAATTTCTCCTGCTTGCCTTGTATTTATTTTGCATATATTTTACAAGTATATATGTACATACATTTATATACATATGTGTGTGTACATGTTGTCTACCTCATAGAATGTAACCTCTTTGAGCTCCAGGATGAGTCATTCTTTTTTGTCTTTATATCCCTGTTGCCCAACACAGCCTGGCATATGGCAGATGCTTTTCAGGACGAGCTGTAAAATTTAAACAACCAGTTCCCTGGATGTGTGTGTGTGTGTGTGTGTGTGTGTGTGTGTGTGTGTGTGTGTGTGTGTGTGTGTGTAATACTCTCTTCAGGCAAATCTGCATTATTAATATTTTCTCCATCACTTTCTTCAGTCTATACAATCAACAAAGCAATAAATCAAGCCCTGATTTCCTACAAAAATTTAGCAACCAGCCCTTGAGCCTGAAGAAGCTGGCTCCAGCACATCCCTGTAAATAAACACTTGTAGAGTGATGCTGACTGATTGATGGCTTCTGAGAACTTCAATAATAATAGCTAACATTCCTACAGTGTTTACTATGTACCAAGCACTTGACAAGTATCATTTCATTTGATTCTTACAACAACCATAGGAAGTAGGTGCTGTTATTACCCATTTTACAAACAAGAAAATGGAGTGTAATTGACTCATCCACAGTCACATGGCTAGTTAGTATCTGAGGCTAGATTTGAACTCAGGACTTCCTGATTCCAGGCACATCATCAGTCTATCTACTGCAGCACCTAGCTGCCCCACCAGACTGACATCACCAAAGACTGCTTGACGGATGAGAGTTGCCTTATTAATAACAGCAATCATGCATACCAAGAGACTTATAACTATAAAGTTCTGTATGTACATTATCACATTTGATCCATAATACAGCCATTTGAGAAAAGGAGAGTGGGAATTATTGCATATTTTGCAGATGGGAAAACTGAGGCTCAAGGAGAGTTATTTACTAGCAGAGCCAAGACTTGAATGCTGGGTCCCCTGGGTAAAGTCCACCTGAAAGGGATAGGAAGCTCACCAGAATGAAATTATAAGGTCAAATATAAGGGACTCTGATGAGGAAGAATAGAGGGATCTGGCTCAAGTGACAGCTGTTTTTGCACAAGGAATTCAATTGCCCACTTAGATTCTAGAAGGACATGCAAAAAAGATGAAAGCATAGAGGACAAGCTTAGTATGCACTAACTGCTAGCTTTATAGGAGTCATTAGTGTGAGATGGCCATCAAAAATCGAATGAGATCTTAGGCTGCATTAACAATAATAGCTACTATTTTCCTAATGCTTTCTGGTTTGCAAAGCTTTATCTTGGCAACCATCCTGGGAGGTAGGTGCTATTATTATCTCCATTTTACAGGTGACAAAACTGAGGTAGACAGGGATTAAGTGACTTGCCTAGAGTCACACACCTAGTAGGTATCTAAGGCTGGATTTGAACTCAGGCCTTCCTAACTCCAGGTCCAACGCTCCCTCCACAGTGCCACCAAGCTGCCTACTGAGAGTCACAAGAGATTATCATCTCACTGTACTCTGCCCTGGTCAGAACACATTTGCAGTACTGTGTTCCATTTCAGGAGTCCCAGAAGAGTGGCATGATCCTGTAAATACAGTATTAGGGGCACTAAACCTCACGGTGAGATAAGGTTGGTGATGAGTGCCGAGAACCCAAAAGACCTTTTTAGATCCATGTCAAATGTAAAAAGACCAAAGCAGGAACAGGACTGCTTTCTGGGCAGATGGGAAGGATACGAGAGGATGGAGAGAAAACTGAACTGCTCAACTCTGCTTTTGCATTTATTTTCTCAGCCAAGGAGGATGAAGTTTGGAGAGACCAAACGAAAATGGGTAATAGGGACTTCAAAGAAAAGGTGAAGGAGGTTATGGAGAGGGGACAAGAGAGCACCCAGATGTTCTCACTGAGTACAAGTACTCAGGCCCTAGGATGAATAGGCTATGAAAAAAAAAACCAGAAGATTTAATTACCAGTCATTGTGCATGGCCTCTGGAAGGTCTTGGGATGACAGAAAAGAGGCCACAGAACTGGGCAAGGACAGGTGGTGCCCTGGTTTAAAAAAAAAAAAAGGGAAAAGAGCAGATAGGCTTGGGCAAAATTCTAGAGTGCATCATTATTTAAAAATTTTTAATTGTTTTTATTGATGTATTTTTACTTAACTTTTATTTCACCACAATATTCCACTCTGTCCCTGACTCAGTGAGCTAATCCTTTAACAAACTTTTTAAAAGAGATAAAAAAAAGTTCACAGAAACTAACCAAATATAACAATCATATCTGACATCATTTGCAACATCCCACACCCATAAACTCATACCACTGCACTGCAGGGAAGGAACTGTGTTTTTTTCAATTCTTCTAGAGGCCAAACTTGGTCATTATAATTACCTAGCATTTACCTTCACTTCTTTTGTACATTCTGCTAAAATTTTGTAGTCATTGTATATATTGTTTTCTTGGTTCTGTTTACTTCACTGTATCAGTTCACATACATCTTCCTCTGCTCATCTGAATCCTTCATATTTGTCATTTCTTACAACTCAATAATATTCCATTACATTCATAATTTGCTTAGCTATTCCTCAAAAGAGGGGAATCTGCTTTGTTTCCAATTCCTTGTTACTACAAAAAGTGTAAATATGAATGTTTAGGTACATATGGGATCTTTCTTATAGAACACATTGTTAAAAAGATGGTATGTAAGCATTTAGAAAGGGAAATATGGACCATTAAGACCTGGAATGGCTTCATCAAGAATGGATCACATCAGACTAACTCCATTTCCTTTTTTGATAAGGCTTGCTAGGCTAATAGATGAAGGAAAAGCTACACACCCACTACCTAGATTTTAGCAAGGTATTCGACAAAGTCTATTAATGCCATCCATCCCTGTAGACATGATGAAGTGGCCAGGAGACGGTATACTTGCATTCATGTTTCACTGAATGACTGCACCTCAAAATTAATCATTAGTAGGTTGGTGTCAAAGTGGAACAATGCGTCTAGTAAGTGTTACAGGAATCTGTCCTTGGCCGTATGCTACTTAATATTTCTATCAGTGATGTAGGGCAACTAGGAGGCACAGAAGATAGAGTACTGGGCCTGGAGTCAAGAAGACCTATCTTTCTGAGTTCAAATCTGGTGTCAGACACTTTCTAGCTGTGTGACCCTGGGCAAGTCACTTAACTCTGTCTGCCTCTCAGTTTCCTCTTCTGTAAAATGAGGCGGAGAAGGAAATGGCAAACCACTCCAGTATCCCTCCCAAGAAAACCCTAAACGAGGTCACAAAGAGTCAGAAACAACTAAATAGCAACAACAAGAATGAATGCA